CCGCCTCTCCGAGGACCTCAAGAGCAGCGGGGTGCACCTCGCCTGCGGCAGCATCCGCGGCGGTGGTGGCGGTGCTGGTGGTGGCCACGAGGACAACCGCTTGCTGCCCGCCGACCGCGACCTCCAGTACAGCTTCTTCTCCTCGCCCTCCCTGGCCAACAGCATCCGCAGCCCCGAGGAGCGGGGGGTGCTCTGCAAAACGGAGCCGCCGCGGCACCCCCGGCCCCCGGCCCGCGATGGAGACGCTGATGGTGGGGGGGGAAGCAGCTCGCAGCCCCCTGGTCACAGCGGAGCATCCAAAGCATCCACAGAGGAAGCCGGCTGCTCCCAGCCTGATGCTGGTGATTACTCGGACCTGGCCGAGGCGGACATCCTCAATGAACTGGCTTCCCTGGCATGCCCGGGGACGCAGCTGCTGGAGGCACAAGCGATGGAGCCGCAGCCCCAGTTGCTGCCAGCCCAAGAGCTGGATTCCCAATCCCGGCTGCTGGATTCGCAGTCCCTGGAGTCGCAGCCGCAGCTGCTCGATTCACAGAGCCTGGAGCCGCTGCCGGAGTCGCTGGAGCTGCAGAACCTGGAGCCGTTGGGGTTGCAGTCGCTGGAGCCGCTCTCCGAGTCCCTGGAGCTGCAGTCACTGGAGCCTTTATCCGAGTCCCTGGAGCTGCAGTCGCTGGAGCCGCTGGCGGAGCCGCTGGGGCTGCAGACGCTGGAGCCGCTGCCCGGGGCGCTGGAGCCGCCGCTGCTGGATGCTCGCGCACCGCTGCTGCCCACGGAGCCCGCGCTGATGGAGACGCAGCCGCTGGGCTCCATGTCGGAGCTGCTGGAGGCACAGCCGGGCTCTGGGGACCCGCTGCGGCTGCAGCCCCGGCTCGGGGGGTGCCCCCTGGGCAGCGTGGTGAAGCGGGGTCCCTGCGGGGGCCGGGGGGCCGGGCGCTGCGGTGAGGACCACCGCAAGTACGCCCTGCGCCGGACAGACAAGCCAAAGATGTTGTGCCGCCGGAGGAGGGCAGGGCGAGGGCGCCGCATGGACGTCACCCCCGAGAGCCGCGGCTTGTCCCCGCTCACCCTGCCCGCCGAGGTGCCCCCCGGTGCCGAGGAGCCCAGCGCCCCATTGCTGGCCCCGCCGCCACCTCCAGCCACTCTGGACCCCGATGAGGTGCCCAAAGCCCCTGGGATGGGGAAGAAAAGCAAATGCCGGGGGGTGAGGAAGATGGTGGTGAAGATGGCCAAGATCCCCGTGTCCTTGGGGAGGAGGAACAAGACGACCTACAAGGTGTCATCGCTCAGCAGCAACTTGAACCTGGAGGGCAAGGAGCTGGCGGCCAGCAGCTCCATGGAGCCCACGCCGCTGCTCAAGATGAAGAACAACGGGCGCAACGTGGTGGTGGTCTTCCCGCCGGGTGAGATGCCCATCATCTTGAAGCGCAAGCGGGGCAGGCCTCCGAAGAACTTGCTGCTGGGCCAAGCCAAGCCTAAGGAGCCCACCCCGGAGGTGAAGAAGAGGAGGAGGAGGAAGCAGAAGCTCGCCTCCCCCCAGCCCTCCTACATCGCCGACACCAACGACAGCAAAGCCGACTACTCGGACGTGCTGGCCAAGCTGGCGTTCCTCAACCGGCAGAGCCAGTGCTCGGGGCGCTGCTCGCCGCCACGCTGCTGGACCCCGAGCGAGCCCGAGTCCATCCACCAGGCCCCCGACACCCAGAGCATCTCCCACTTCTTGCACCGCGTGCAGGGCTTCCGCCGGCGCGGCGGCAAAGCGGGGGGCTTCGGCGGGCGCGGGGGGGGCCACGCTGCCCGTGCCGCCCGCTGCTCCTTCAGTGATTTCTTTGAGGGCATCGGGAAGAAGAAGAAAGCCCCCAGCGCCCTCCACGCCGACGCCGTGCACCCGCGCAAGCGGGGCCGCCCGGAGCCCGACCCCGTGGGCAAACCCAAGCGGAAGCGACGGGCTCGCAAGAACGGGGCTTTGTTCCCCGAGCCCAACCCCGGGCAGAGCTTCGGTGACGGCCCCGCCGAGTGGGGAGCCGGGGGGGACAAGGGCAGCCCATGGGCACCCCACCATGGGCACCCCAGCAGCCAGCCCGGCCGCAATGGTGGCTACCACGGGGCTGAGGCGAGACCGTTCCACGGGGCCGGGCTGGAGTCGGGCTCCTCCGGCCGGGCTGGCTTCTATGGTGGGAGCGCGGTGTCCTCGCAGGCGGAGGCTGGTCCGGAGCGGCACAGCCTCTTCACCGGGTACTTCCGCTCCCTGCTGGACTCGGATGACTCCTCCGACCTCCTGGACTTTGCCCTCTCGGCTTCGCGCTCCGAGTCCCGCAAGTCAGCAGCTGCCTACACGTCCCCACCGGCGGCTCTGCCGGGGCAGCGGGGCCTGGCCGCGTACCCAGCGCGCGGTGGCAAAGTGGCCGCAGCCTCCTCCGGTGCCGAGGCTGCCTTCCATGCGGCCATGCAGGGCCGGCCGGCATTCCCACCCGGCCGTGCCGCTGCCAGCGCCGGCTATGGCGTAGCCCAAGGGTCATCGGAGTGCCGGGGGGCCGAGGCATTCCCAAAGCTGGCGCCACCCTCGGCTGTATCCCGGTCACCCACTGCCCACCCAGCGGCCAGCGGCGCTCCGGGTTATTCCCCATACAGCAGCTATGGCGCCGGGCAGAGCGTGGCGCCGGCCAGCGTGTTCCCACCAGGAAAGCAGTACCCGTCAGCGCAGGACTGCCCCAACAGCAAGGACTGCAGCTTCGCCTACGGCAGCGGCAGCAGCCTCCCGTCCTCACCCAGCAGCGCCCATAGCGCCGGTTACGCGCCGCAGACAGCGGGTCCCAGCCTGCCGCTGGGCAAAGCCGCCTTCTTCAACAGCGCAGAGCAAGGGGGGCAGTTCTCGAGCGCGGCGCACACCCCGCTGCGCTGCGACAGCCGCGCCAGCACCGTGTCCCCCGGCGGCTACATGGTGCCCAAGGGGTCCGCTTCCTTCCAGCCTTCCCCCGAGAACTGCCGGCAGTTCCCCAGCGCCGCGCCGTGGGCTTTCCGGCAGGGCTATGGTGGGTTGGATTGGAGCTCGGAGGCCTTCAGCCAGCTCTACAACCCGGGCTTTGAGTGTCACCTCAACGAGCCCAACGTCATCCTGGATATCTCCAACTACACTCCGCAGAAAGCCAAGCAGCAAACGGTCTCGGAGACCTTCTCCGAGTCCTCCTCCGACAGCACCCAGTTCAACCAACCGGCCAGCTACCGGCGCGCCAACAGCGAGGCGTCCTCCAGCGAGGGCCAGTCCAGCCTCTCCAGCCTGGAGAAGCTGATGATGGACTGGAATGAGGCATCCTCCGCCCCGGGCTACAACTGGAACCAGAGCGTCCTCTTCCAGAGCAACTCCAAGCCTGGGCGAGGCCGGCGGAAGAAGGTGGACATGTTCGACACTTCCCACCTCAACTTCTCCTCCTCCTCCTCCTCCTCCTCCGTGTACCCCTCCAAGAGGAGCACGGGACCCCGGCAGCCCCGGGGCTCCCGGGGCGCTTGTGCCTCCAAGAAGGAGAGGGGGACGGGCAAAGCCAAGTTCCACACCAAGTCGCAAGCAGTGAACCCCCTCTTCCAGGAGAGCACGGACCTGGGCTTGGACTACTACAGCGGGGACAGCAGCATGTCCCCCCTGCCCTCCCAGTCCCGGGGCTTCGGGGTGGGCGAGCGGGACCCCTGCGACTACGCCGGCCCCTATTCCATGAACCCCTCCACCCCCTCGGATGGGACCTTTGTGCAGGGGTTCCAGAGCGACTCCCCTGGGCTGGGGCAGCCGGATTTGGAGAGCAAGCACTTCCCTGCCCTCCCGCCCCAGCTGGCGGCCCCGGGCCAGCAGACGGTGTTCGAGGCCGGCTTGCAGAAAGCCTTCTCGCCCAACTGCTCGCCAACGCTGGCCTTCAAGGAGGACCTGCGGGCGGGCTCCCTGCGCAAGCTGCCCGCCTGCGACTCGCTCAAGCACAGCATGCAGGGGGGGGCCCTGCCGCAGGCCCCGCACTTGGCGTGCCGCGATCTCCCCATGCCTCAAGCGCACTACGAGTCCCCCAGCTGCAAAAACCCCCCGTACTGGTATTCGCCCAACGCCAGCACCCGCAGCCCCTCGTACGACGGCAAAGCGGGGGCCGGGATGCTGGTAGACTTCATGGGCAGGACGGACCCCCCGTGCCTGAACCCCCACTTGAGCAGCCCCAGCAGCACCCACCCCTCCAAGGGCGAGAAGGAGCCCTTGGAGATGTCGCGGGCCCATCACCGGGGTCCCTACGCTTGCCCCTTGATCAATGACTTGAACATCTCCCCCGTACCGAGAGACTCAATGCTGCAGCTGCAGGACAACTACAGGTACCCCAGTTTTGCACCCCAAGGGCACCCCGTCATGGCCCCCACCCAGAAGAGCGGGTTTTTGGGACCCATGGTAGAGCAGCAGCACCCCGAGGACACTTTTACGGTCACCTCATTGTAGTGTCTGCAGACGTGCCAACCGGACGACGAGGTTTTGTTACAGGGTAGGTGGGGGAGAGCCTGGAGGTGATGGTGGGGAGGTGGTGCTGGGGGACACAGGGTCTCCTCATCGTGTGTCCCCCCCCCTCCTCTCTCTGTGTTGTGTTTCTTTTGCAGAGGTAATTTAGCCAGCACTTTTTTTCTGGAACACTTTTCAAGTTCTGTATTTAACTGGGATTGGAACCGTTTGTTTGTTTTCTATAAAAAAACACCCAAAAAAACACCCAAAAAAAATATTAAAAAAGGAAAAAAAAAGAAAAAAAAAAGAAAAATATTTAAAAAGATCAAAAATAAGTGAAATGAAAGGATAAAAAAACATTAATAACGGACGAAGAGCGAAACCCCCCCGTGTTCTCCCTGCTCCGCACTTAATCCCGCTCCGCCTGCCAACTGCCTGGCTCTGCTTCCCGGCCGTGCCGCCCTCCTCCCGCCCCGCAGCAGGACAATCGCATGGATGGACGGATGGACGGACGGACCCATGGATGGACGGACGGACCCATGGATGGATGATGGATGGATGCATGGATGGACGGATGGCGCAGCCCCACCGAGCCCAGGGGCACAGGCAGGGCGCAGGCAGGAGGTTGCCATGGGGGTCAGCAGTGGGTGCCCCCTGCCCGCAGCCTGGCCAGGGGACAAGGGCAGCCCCTTGGCTGCCCCCGGGGGGGCCGCTTTGGGGATCTTTTGTTTCTTGTTTTCCCTCCCCATCCGCTCCCCCGCCGGGTGCTTTCCGTGCCGGATGGATGCCAATGGGTGTTTGGGAGCGCTGACCCCCCACCAGGCTCTGGCAGCTTCGCCAGCGGGGCTCAGAGATGCCACCGTCGCCCGGTAAGTGCCAATGCATCCCTGTGCCCACCCGGTGCTCAGCGCCCCCGGAAGGTGGGGTGGGGATGGGTGCTGGGTGCTCTGTGCTTTCCAGTGGGGTTTCCAGTGAGGTTCACCCACTGGGTGCTCCTAGCCCCTTCTGGGCTGCAAGCCCTCGACCCGGGTGTTGCCCCATGGCCAAACTTCAAACTGGGGACCCCAAATGCCCCAGTGTCTGTGGGTGGATGGAGCTAGGATGCAGGGTGCTGAACCATGGGTTGTGGGGTGCTGGGTGCTAGGGCTGGGATATGGGGTGCCCCAGAGCCCTGGATATATGGGTGTCAGACAGGGGTGGGCAGGACCCCAAACCTCTGCATATTGTGGGTGCCTGATAGGGGTGGACAGGACCCCAAATCCCTGGGTACCAGATGGAGGGTGGGCAGAGCCCCAGACCCTTGGGTACGTGGGTGCCAACCCCTGGGTGTGTGGGTACCAAGCCTTTGGGTATGTGGGTGTTGGATGGAGGGTGGGCAGAACCCCATGGGTACCTGGGTGCCAAACCCCTGGGTGCATGAATGGGCTCCCTTAACCCACACTGTCCCCCATCCTTACCAAGCGGGTGCCCCATCACTGTGCCGTCCCACTGGCACCCAGGGGGGCACTGACCCATCTCTCCCCTCTCCCCACCAGCCACAGCACCCATCCTGGCTGCCGGAGCAGAGAGGAGAGGAGAGGAGGGCACTGCTGGGGGGGGGTACCCCGGCCCCATTGCCCCCCGCTTGGCCCCCGCCTCGGCCGTGGCGCCGGCGCCGCGTTCTCTCTCGGAGGGGACTCTTTTAACCGTTTCCTTTTGGGGTTTTTATCGGAGGGAATTTTCATTTTCTGCACAAAACCAGCAATTGTAAATACTTTTGAAGAAAAGCTTAAAAAAAAACCCACAAAAAAATGTTTAGGGAGAAAAAAAAATCCTAAAAAGCTGAAAATTCACATTAAATACTAAAAGACAGAGCCACGCACCGGAGGGAGAAGCAACGGAGCGGCCGAGAGGTGAATATGCAGGAGAGAAGAGCAAAAACCCACCCGTATGCACTGAGTAAAGATTTATTTACAGCTCAAATCGACCTAAAAAATGAGAAAGACAAAAAAAAACAAAAAACAAAGGAACAATAACCTATTTATTGTATATAATGTTTTATTATAAATCGTGTCTTGTATATTGCATTCTGTACCTCTGCTGTGGTTTTGTGGTGTGCAGCTCCCGCATGGGTCCCGTGGCTTTCCGTTGCCTTTTTTTAATGCCCAGGACTTGAGGTCTTATTTTTATGATGCTGATGCTGAAGAAGAAGGGGTTTGGGAGTGGGGGGGGGGGGGGGGGGTGGGGGGAGGGGGGTGGGTTTTTTGGCAGGATGCACCCAAAGACCCAAATTTGTATGAAAAAAGAGAAAAAAAAAGAAAGAGTTTAACAAAAAAAATCATCAGAAAATTAAAAAAAAAAAAGGGGAGGAAAAATATCAGGAGAGAACTGGATTCCAGAGCCTTTGGTGGGGAGGTTGGGATGGGGCAATAGGGGGGGCACCGTGGTCCCCAATGCAGTGATGAGCTCAGGGTGTGGGTGTGTGTGGATGCCAATGGGGGGCTTTGGGCTTCTCTGTCCCCCCTATGTGTGATGTATGTGTGTCCCCACCAAGGGTTTGGCTCTATAGAGCTTTGTGGACTGTGCAAAACCAACCAACATGAAAAACAGAGGGGGAAATGCCCTTCAGGGCCAAAAATGGACAAAAAACGGGGAAAACACCCCAAATCTGGTCAAAAGAGCCCCTAAAACCCAAACCCAACCAAGAAGAGAGGAAAATGCCCTGAAATGGCTAAAAATTAACAAAATCCAGGGGTAAAACACCCCATGTCTGGTCACAACAGCCCCATGCTGCCCACCCCCAGCCAGAGAGAACCACCCTGGTGCCCCCCCGTCCCCCCTGTCCCCTCGCCTGGTTTTTGTGTTCTTTAGGAAGGAATTTTTAATAGGCACTTTTTTTATATTAAAAAGAATCCTCTATATTGAGCCATGGCCGCTGCCTTCTTGCTTTGGGGGAGGGAGGGGAGGGGGCTGTTCCCACCTGGAACTGAGGGGGAAATGGCATCCAGCCTAATTGCAGTGGAAGGGGGAGTCCCACTGTGGGTGACCTCAGTGGGGTGGCTCAGGGCTGTGTGTGAATCAGTTAACTGCTTGGCTGGGTGGGATGGGTGCCCACCCCCTTTGGCACCCATAGGGCACCTAAGAGGGGGAGAAATAGAGTCTCCACAGTATGGAGGTGATGGATGGGAACTGTAAAGGTGCAAAAATGAGGAAAATAAGCCCTCCAAAAGAACACTCACAAATAAATCCAACTTCCAGGACTGGGAAGATGAAGGCTGCAGCATCCTTTGGGAGAGGAGAGCGGGGGGTTGGAGGGGGGGGACCAGCTACCTGTGGGTGGGAGAGGTTGGTGATCCCGGCGGGGTCAGGGCTGCTGCAGTGAAGTGCTTGTGCAGCAATGGGGGGGCCGGGGGGAGGCAGGAGGTTGCTATGGAGAGGAACACACGGTGCATACTGATGGCGGGGGGGGGGGCTGCCAGCGCTGCCGCAGCCCAGGGAGATGTCAGTGTTGTGCAAGGAGAGCACGGGGAGGGGGACACCCAATCTCAATGGTGGCCTTGGGGAGCAGCAAAAAGAGCCTGGTCCTATGCAGCCCCCCTAAGACCCACTCTCAATGCAGGATGGGGGGTGTGGGGGGGTGTGCCAATCCCTGTATCCCAGGTTAAGGTGGCTGGGAATGTGATGGAGGCTCTATTTCCACCCCCCCCACACTCCCTCTGTGCATGATCACACAGGGGCTTGCAGGGGTGCACTTGCACCCCTAATGCCCCATGCTGGAGCTTCACCCAGTGAGCTCCGTTGCTCCCATGGGCCATTCCCAGCACCCAGGCTGGGATACTGCCCATGGGAGCAGATGCGGGAGCTGTCCCTAGGGATGCTGCTCATGTCTGGCACAAGCAGTGCCTCCCGTCCTTTGGGGGGGTCACCCCAATATTGTGCTCTCACCCGGGTGGGCACCAGATACCAACCCCACCTTGACATTGCTTACTGGGGAAACTGAAGCAGGGGACTATGGTCCCCATGCCATGGCTGTGCCCATCTTGCACCCATCCTAAAGGGTAATGCTACTCCTGGGGGATTGTTAGGGGTTCATCCCATTCCCTCCTTGTCTCCAAAGCAATGCTTCCTACAACCATCAAATTTAGTCTTTTCCCCCCATTTCAGCTCACAAAAAGCAGCGCTAAAGGAGGACAAAACCCACTGCAGCTGCATTAGTGCCCAGGTAAGGCAGGCACAAACACATACAGCACTGGGGTGAACAGGGAAAGGAATCCCACTGGGAGGTAGGCAAATCCCACAGGGAGGCATGCCCTGGCATGGCCACAGCCTCACCGGGATGTCCAGTGCTTGAAGCACAGCTTGATTTCATTGACTTCATTTAGTTCTTATTCTTTAAGCTTCAGTTCTCCCTCTCAAGCAGTGAGCGCCGCTTCAGAGGCTGAAAAGCCTCGTGATGGGGCTGATTGTTGGGTTTGGCCAGCAAAGGTTGCTTGGGATAGTGGGAGAAAGAAAAGATGTCAAAATCGAGGGGGAAAGTGGTTATTTGGCTATTTCTTTAGCAAAGGCCTCTGAGAGATGCTTATGTGGGCACCCAGGCATGGTGCACACAGTGCCCAGTGGATATGGGATGAGCAGGACAAGGGAAGCCTGGTCCCCCACATGTGGCTGTACCTGTACATGATGGAGATTATGATGTCAATGAAGCAGAGAGGAGGTTTCTGGCCTCTCGTGGTAACGATGCTGGAGCAGGCAATGGAGCTGCACAGAGCCCAGGGATGCTGCAAGGACAGTGGGATGAGGGATGCTCCACATCCCAAGCAAGAGGGGTCCAGGGCTGACCCCAGAGCCGTAGGGAATGGAGATGGAAGGAGGCTCATTGTGCTGCTGCCATGAGCAGGAAGGGCTGTGCCACCATTCCGGCTTTTTCCATCCCCTTGGAAACAAGGCAGGAATTTGCCTGCCCATGGCATGGAGACGGATCCAAGGGTACAAGGCTGGGAAAATGCCCCCTATCCCATGAGGAATGTGCCAGGGCAGGGGATGGTGCACATGAATGCACATCCAGACCTGGCTCCACCATCCCTTTGGCACATGGGATGTCATCGTCCATGCCAAACTCACCCCCGTACCAGCACACAGCACCCAGCTCTGCTGCCATCCGCTGCTACCTGGAGCAGGATGAGGGCTGTGCCACCCACCCCAGCCCTGCAGTGGAAGCCGGGGCGGGGAGCAGCAGCAGGACCCTGCCTTCATCACGCTGCTTGGATCTGACCAGGAGATTTGGCCACCCCCTTCCTCTTCAAATTAATGGCTGTGCCGTGAAGGAAATTGAAGCCATTATTCTTAGCTTGCATCCTTTATACCCACCAACTTCAACCACTTGACATGCTAATCACAAGCTAACGAGGAAGGGAGGCGATTTCCCACGTCAGACCTGCAATCCAGTGCATCTGGCAGCAGGAGTGGGGAGCATCCTGAGCCGGGGGCCACCAGCACCTCAACACCAGCATGCCCAGCCCCTTCCACCCTGCTGTAGCCCCCCAAAGCTGCTGCCACCCCACGCTGTCCGCATCCAGGACCCTTGTGGAGGGATGTGGGGTGATGCCGTTGCTCCCCGGGGCCATCCCGCGCATCCGTGCTGCACGAACAGCCCCAGCGCCAGCAGCGCGGATCCCAGCTGGAGGAACCAGACCACCCCTGCTGCTCCCAGAGGAAGGGCAAGGCCCTTGGAAGAGATTTCCACGTCCCCTCCGCCCGCAGCAGCTCCCCCTGAGCCCCGGCGCATTCATCGCACCCTCCGCAGGGCTGCGTCTGCCCGGCCCCATCCATCCCAGCCTGGCCTGAGCCCAGCCGCCAGCCGGCCAGAGAGCTCTGGAGTCCATTAACATTCCCCCCCGAGCGATTTAATCCCCCCCTCTCTGTGCCCTGGCTCTGGCTTTTAACTCGGGTTTAATCAAGCCCAGCCTGGCGCCTTCTAAATCACCGGGGCGGATGGCACCCAGCTCGCCGCATGGCACATGGGTGCTGTGGGTGCGCTCTGCAGCGGGAGGCGGGGGCAGTCCAGGGCAGAGCCATTCCAAGAGGTCTCCACTCTCCAGTGACTGGAAAAGGCGTTTTGGAGCCGGAGGAGCTGAGATCAGCAGAGCAGGGGCCAGCAAAGGCAGGGAATCAAAGCAAAGGCTATTGCAGGGGTTGCTGTTAATACCGGCTGCATGAGGATGGCCTCGGGGGGAGCTGGCACCGAGGGGGTGGGCTGTGTCCACAGGGCAGGCTGGGGTCCACGGGGAAGGAGGAGGGTTTGGCTGCTGGATGCTTGGATTCGTTCCCAGCACCCACTGATGGGGGGCACAGGGTCTGGGGCCCCACTGGGGTGGGAGGTGATGCTGCCTGCACCCATGTTCCTAAACCGAAGCACTAAGGTGTTTGGGGAGGACCAGAGGGATGCAGGGGGATGCCCCCCCCCCCCCCGGGGTTTCACCACATCACTACTGTAAAGGGAGCAGAGCCCCTCTGGGGGTCCTGGATGGGGCTCTGTGGGGTGATGGTGGCTTTTTCCAGCCATGTCCTGTGGGATGGAGGCAGGATCAGTGCTGGCTGTGAGGCTGGCTGAGGGGTCTGGGGGTGATGTGCGGGAACCAAGGGGCAGGATGTGGCATTTTGGGGGGCAAAGCATGAGCCCAAGTGGTTTTTGGGGGTCCCAGCTGTGTGGGTTATCAGCAGTGGCAGAAGCGTGGAGCTTCCCGGCTCCTGGGGGAGGGATTAAGGGGATTATATTATTATTTGTTATCGCTGAGGGGGGAAGAAATAAGGAAGAAGCCTTCATCGCTGGGAACTGTGCCTAATCAGAGCTCCCTGCTTCCGCACAGACAGCCCAGGATGGATCCTGATGGATGGATGGATGCTGAGCATGTGCTGGGGCTGTGGATGCCTGGGGGAGGGCCTTGCATCAGGATGAAGGGAGCACCTATTGACACCCCAGCATCTCTGCAGGATGGGGACAAACTGGGCTGCGGTCCCCCCTACTTGCTGGAGCTATGTGCCATGCAGTGATGCGCTAAGGGGCATGCCCAGAGGTGCAGGGGTTAGAGGCATACTGGCATGTGGGGACATGAATGAGATCAACACGGGCTCTGGTAGGGGGAGCAGGAGGATGAGGAGGGTCCAGCTGAGCCAGGTCCCCATGAACCCAGGTCTGGGGATAGAGATACCCAAGGACACCCATCACAGCTCTTCCTGCAGGGCCTGGGGAACCCAAGGACAACCACATTCATTACACTGCCCCTTCCAAGCGCACACCTCCAGTTTTGCCTTCAAAGCCCCCCGTTTCCAGCCAAGCCCTGCTCAAACGTGGGGTGCAAGCACAGGGCAGCTCCTCTCCAATCCTGCCTTGCCCATAGCCAGGCTGAAGCCAGCACCACCACCACCAAAAGCTCATCATTAGAGCTGCTTCCCCACACCCTTCCTTTAGTCTTTTATTTAGACTTTCTGGCTCTTGTTTTTGCACCGGCGAGCGCTGCTGGAGCGCACAGAAATCCTTCAGATCTCGGCTGGCAGCAGAGCTCTGCCTAATCACAGTCATTATCTGGAAGCAGGTAATGGGCATCTTTCCCATGTTAATGTGAAAACAGAAGCAGCGAGAGCAGGACACTGGGGAGGATGGGGCTCGCTCCTGCTCACTGCTCCTGAGCACGAGTGTTGGGTGCTGGTGGCTTTCAGGCGGGTGCAGTGAGGGGTCCAGTGGCTTGCGCTCAATACATCAGGCAGGAAGGGGCTGTATCCTGCATGGGCAGAGCTCGTCCTTGCTGCCACCGCGATGCAAGCACCGGGCCCGTGTTTTGGGCAGCGGTGGTGGCGTCTTCCTCCTCCCCGCGCCACCGTCGGAGCTTGCCCCCGGCTCGGCCCAGCGTGGCCGGGTCCTCCGCTAACAAGGACTCGTCCCTTTCATCGCCAGGGGCGGGAGGGGCCGGAGCTGGAGGTGAGAGCCGCGGGTGCCCGCCGGGGCCGGGAGGGGAAGGTTCCGTGGCGCTGGAGTTTCGTTTGCTGCGATACCATTAACGAGTGAGCAAAGGTTGCGGAGTCTCCATGGAGACAAGACAGCAAAGCGAGCCCGAGCGGCTCTGCGCCGGGGTTACAGCTGATTAGGAAATGTCAGCGCAACAGCAACTGCCCGGCGCCACGCTGGCCCGGGGACCTGCGCATCCCATCATCCTGGGGGTCCCAATGCATCCCATCATCCTGGGGGTCCCAGTGTGTCCCATCATCCTGGGGGTCCCAGTGTGTCCCATCATCCTGGGGGTCCCAATGCAACCCATCATCCTGGGGGTCCCAGTGTGTCCCATCATCCTGGGGGTCCCAATGCATCCCATCATCCTGGGGGTCCCAATGCATCCCATCATCCTGGGGGTCCCAGTGTGTCCCATCATCCTGGGGGTCCCAGTGTGTCCCATCATCCTGGGGGTCCCAATGCATCCCATCATCCTGGGGGTCCCAATGCATCCCATCATCCTGGGGGTCCCAATGCAACCCATCATCCTGGGGGTCCCAGTGTGTCCCATCATCCTGGGGGTCCCAATGCATCCCATCATCCTGGGGGTCCCAATGCAACCCATCATCCTGGGGGTCCCAGTGTGTCCCATCATCCTGGGGGTCCCAATGCATCCCATCATCCTGGGGGTCCCAATGCAACCCATCATCCTGGGGGTCCCAGTGTGTCCCATCATCCTGGGGGTCCCAGTGCATCCCATCCATCCTGGGGGGTCCCAATGCAACTCATCATCCTGGGGGTCCCAGTGTGTCCCATCATCCTGGGGGTCCCAGTGCATCCCATCATCCTGGGGGTCCCAATGCATCCCATCATCCTGGGGATCCCAGTGTGTCCCATCATCCTGGGGGTCCCAATGCAACCCATCATCCTGGGGGTCCCAGTGTGTCCCATCATCCTGGGGGTCCCAATGCAACCCATCATCCTGGGGGTCCCAATGCATCCCATCATCCTGGGGGTCCCAGTGTGTCCCATCATCCTGGGGGTCCCAATGCATCCCATCATCCTGGGGGTCCCAATGCATCCCATCATCCTGGGGGTCCCAGTGTGTCCCATCATCCTGGGGGTCCCAGTGTGTCCCATCATCCTGGGGGTCCCAGTGCATCCCATCCATCCTGGGGGGTCCCAATGCAACCCATCATCCTGGGGGTCCCAGTGTGTCCCATCATCCTGGGAGTCCCAGTGCATCCCAACCATCCCGGGGGTCCCAGTGCATCCCATCCATCCTGGGGGTCCAAGTGCCTCCCATCATCCTGGGGGTCCAAGTGCATCCCATCATCGCAGTGGTCCCAGTGCACCTAATCATCCTGGGGATCCCAGCACATCCTATCATTGCAGCTGTACCAGTGCATCCCGTCCATCCCGGGGGTCCAAGTGCACCTCATCTATCCCAGTGTGCCACTGGACCACCGCATACTGTGTGCATCCCACCCATCCCAGGAGTCCCAGTGCATCCCAGGTACCTCATGTGCATCCCACCCTCCCCAGTGTCCCACTGCATCCCATCCGTCCCAGTGTCCCACTGCACCACGGGTACCTTGTGCACATCCCATTCATCCCAGTGTCCCACTGCATCCCATCCGTCCCAGCGTGCCACTGCACCCCAGGCACCTCATGCATCCTGTGCATCCCATGTGTCCTGTGCTCCCTGCCCATCCCCAATGCTCCATTGCATCCCAGCTACCTTGTGCATCCCATGCATGTCCCAGGCATCCTGTACACCCTGTTCATCCCATGTGCCCCATTGCATCCCTTGCGTAAGGCTGGCACATGGGCTCTGATAAGGTGCCATGGAGGATGACCCCTCTTCCCATCCCCAAATGAGGCTGGACAAGCTGGATCCCGCCTCATTTCCCCAGGAGCAAAGTCCAGGCTGAGGGAAAGGGATTGGGATGAACCTGGAGGGGGGGAAACAATTTGTGCCAGGGGGTTATCAGTTGCTTGGATGTGGCTAGAGCCCACTTAGGAGGGAGGCAGGAGCAGCCCCACTGCCCTTCCCCATCCCCTACAGCATCCTTTACCTCCAGCAGGATGCAGGGAGGCACCAGGCAGGCGAGAGCATCTCTCTTGTACAGACACAAGTGTCAAGGGGTACAGGGAGGGGGCTGGCTCCTGCAATTTAGCAGGTATTATTTGGCAGCTATAAACAGAGCCTCTCGCACAGCCGGGGAGAGATAAAGGTTGCAGTGCAGATACAGATTAGGTGGTTCCCTTGAGGCTGTGACACCTTGAGATAGAAGCAGCTCTTCTTCAAGGGAACAGCTTGCTGGCAGCCTGGAAAACCTGGAGTTGAGCAGCCTCCAGCAGCATCGCACCCTTTGCTTTGCACCCATAGGACTGGGATGTGGGGTGCTGGGAGCACAAGGGGCTGAGCATTGCACTGAAAGGGGATAATGCAAAAACGGGCAAGAAATGGGTGTTTGCAGCACATGTGTGTGCCAAGGAGAGACCAAAGGGAATGGAAGCAGTGACAGAGAGACCCAGGATGACTGTGCCCATCGGTGATGCCCATGGCAGTGATGGCATGGATCTGTCGGCTCCTCAATGGGAGCAGCAGTAATTTAATCCCCATGGTTTGGTTTAGTGCACTCTGAGCATTCAGAGCTTGGTGTCCTGGTACCCTTCACCCTGCTCTGAAGCCACGAGCATCACCCTGGCTCTGCTGAGGACCAGGCTGGGCTGCAGGATGCTGCCAAGGACCCCTAAGTGATGCAGTGGTGGAGGGACCAGGATGCATGGCCATGTGCAGTGAGTGCGACCCATCCCCATGTCCCACTGCCAGCCCCAGTCTTTAGACCAGGCTCATTTAAGCCACCCTGCCACCCCCCGAACCCTGCTTTGGGGGCTGGAATCGGGTGGGGTCTCGGGACCCCCTGTCCTGGTTTGGGGGTTGGAGGTGAATGGGGGCCCCCCCATCCCTTCACCTTCCCTCCTCCTGCCCCTCATCCCCGTCCCTTAACCCCCACCCCACACTCCTGCCCCACAGCTCCCAGCCCTGACCCCCGACCTGCCCACGCCCCCCGCCCCAGCTCCACTTGCCCCCTCCCGCCCTGGAGTGACTCCCCCGCTCCTCCAGGTGGAACTTTCCTCTCAGGGTGTGAGACCATAGAGGCGAAAGGCGATACCAAACGCGAGCTCTCCCGGGGAGGGCAGAAGAGACAAACTCCTTTCCCCCAAAGCCGCCTGGAAGGATATTGAGCTGTGTCCCCCACAGAATTAGATGCGTGTTTTAAAGATGTTGTGGCTTTGAGTGGTGAAATTCCCCCTGGAATTTATCCCAAACCCGCCCGAGGCTCCCCCCGCCTACCTCCCCTAATGGTACGTTCTTCCCTGTTTACTCTCTTTGCGCGGCCGCGTTGGGTGGGGTTTTTCCGCTGCTCCAGTTCCGTACGCAAGTAGCGTAGGGCGGTTTTGATGGACAGCCAGTGTAGCCAATAGTGTGGCAGCGTCCTTGGCTCGCTGGCCAATGGCCTTGCGGTCCTGCGGCCGGGCGGAGGCGGGGTCAGGCTCAGGCAGGGCAGGGAGGGGGAGCTGTGGAATGGCGGACGGCCGGGCTGGCCCGCCCTGGTGGTAACGAGCCGAGCGGGCCGAAGGGGACAAGCCGCGGAGAGGGGTGAGTGTGAGCGGGGCGAGCGGGGACCCCCGGGCCTCCCAGCCCTCCTCTTATTGCTGGGAGGTAGGTAGAGCCGCTGGGGTGGGCCGCTAGGCCCTTGCCAAATAGTGAGCCCTGTGCTGAGCCTGGCGGTGTTTCCTGCCACATAGTGAGCCGCAGTGCTGCTGCACCCGGTGCTCCGGTGTGGGGCGGGCCGGGCCCCGGCGTGGGGCCGGGAGCAAGGGCACGGCCTCAGCCGCGGGCTGACACCGGCCCGGCCCCTTCTGGAGCCGTGGCTCAGGGCAGTGGGTGCTGCCTGCTCCTGAGGGGGGCAGAGCCCGGTGCTGGGGTAGAAAGGGGGATGCTGCGGGAGAAAGGGGGATGCTGCGGGGTAGCCCTGAGCTGGGGAGCGGGGCTCCCTCCTTGCCTTTGCGGTGTGATGGGTTTGGCATCAGTGTGTGAGCATAGGCTCATGAAAGTGCCTTCTCCGTCCTGTCTTCCTGCCCGACACCCTTCAGGGTGTCTGGGTCCTCTAAGGAGTTGTGGAAGCCCCTTGGCTATCAACTAAACCCCACAACTACTTGGGGTAAGGCTGTGTGAGATGCTCTGGAAAGTGTTTTCCTCATTAAATCCCTAGGCACTCTGAAAAGAAGCTTTGGAGGTTGTAACGGGATAGGGTTGGGTGGTTTAGTCAAGTTCACTGAGCTCCTGGTGCGCTCAGACCATAGGGTCATGGAATGGTTTGGGTTGGAAGGAACCTTAAAGATCATCTAGCTCCAAGCCCCTGCCACAGCATATGTAACAAGAAATAAGTTGTTAAGGAAAATAAGTTGTTAAGGAATGTCCCTGGGGTTGCACCTCATCAGCGATTAGGTTTGTGTTGGCGTTACTACTTTGAGATACAAATAGCTGATGTCCTATGGAGAAAGGTAAGGGATTGCAGCTTGTCCCCGTTAGCTATTATTTGACCTTAAGGACCTTCCTGTTGGAGATGTATTCTTTTCCTGACACAGGTTTCCTATTTGGCATCACTGGTTTACTTCCATGAGTAGCAACAACAGAATTGGGCACTTCTGCCTAGATCAGATCAGATGTTGGTGGACATGAGATGATGTTAATGAAGTACACCATGGCACACAGTGGTCCCATAACTGATGGAGCACTCCAGCCCTCACTTGTGTGTCCTTCCCCATGGCTTCTGAGCTGGAAAAGTTGAAAGTGGAAGGTGTGAGAAGCCAGCACCATGTGTATGTGCTTCCCTGTGACAGACCTGATGTTGCTTTATGGGAAGTACACGAGCCTCGAGGCTTGGTCACTCGCGGAAGGGGAACAGTTCTGCTTCCCACCCATCTGCAGGATTGCAGCACTGTGCATTCTGATGTGCCCCTTAGTGACCTTGAGTGGGGTTTTGTCATAGGAACCCATGCAGAGTTGAACCCAAAATTCTATTATAACCAACCCAAACCTAAAATCTCCCCACTGATGCCACCAGCAGCGTGCTGATAGAGTGCCTTTGGAAACCCAGTGCATTCAGAGCCAAGGACAAGCTTTTTCCAGGAGGCTGGGGAGGAGCAGGCCTCTGCTTGCTTCTTCATTTAAGGATTGTGCTTGAAAACACCAAGTTTGAATGAGAGAACTTGACCCAAGGTTTAAAGCTCCACTTAATGCTGATCTTTGCTCGAGCTATGGTTGTCACTGTTGTCCCTAGGTGGGGTGGGGATCAAACCGTGGGCCTCTGCCTTCCAAAGCATGTCTTCCTGTTTAGTTAAAAGCCTTGTTCTGTGTGGGGTGAGGAGCAGTTTTACCAGCTCTGGGTAGCCCAGCTGAAGGTGAAGCCTTGCTGGAATATCCACCCTTTCCAAGCTGGCTGCTCAGGCTTTTCCAAGCCCTGCAAAGTATCAGTGGTGTAAGCAGTGATGCCACTGCCTGAGCTTGGGCTCTGGGCTCACTCCCAGTTCCTCACTGGAGCTTCTCTCTGGTCTGCACTCCTAAACCTTTCAAGCTCTGGTTTTACAAAGCTCTGTAGCGAGGAGGATGCTGGTTCAGAGAATCCTAGAATGGTTTGGGTTGAAAGGGACCTTAAAGCTCATCCAGGTCCGCGGGCAGGGACCCCTTCCACTAGAGCAGCTTGCTCCAAGCCCCTGTGTCCAACCTGGCCTTGAACACTGCCAGGGATGGGGCAGCCACAGCTTCTCTGGGCATCCTGTGCCAGCGCCTCAGCACCCTCTTGTGCCTAAGAGCTCATCTCAGTCTCTGGCAGGTTAAAGCCATTCCCCCTTGTCCTGTCCCTACATCCCTTCTCCAAAGCCCCTCTCCAGGTTTCTTGTAGCCTCTTCAGGCACTGGAAGACTGTTATAAGCTCTCCCCTTGTTGTATGAGTTCTGTTTTCGTTGTGGAGTGGCTTAGTGAAGAAGAGTAGAGGCTGGAACTGTAGCCCTAATGTCTTTAGAGTTAGCACTCTGGGATTTGGAGTAATGAGTTAATAGTAAAGTGCTCCTAAGCAGAGGATAAAACTGTTTTCCCAATGAATAACGTGACACGCTGAACAGAAACGGGTATTTTTAAGTTCCAGCTCAGAAGGTATTTGTGAGCAGTGATTCATTAAAAAGAATACCACGTTTCTGGGAACGACCAACCCAGTTTCTCAGCATACTTTGAATACATCTCATTCTTCAGGGCTGGTCTAGGAAAAGTTGATTTCATTCACAAAGGTTAGATAATCATGCAGTGTGGGTGGAGGGGTTAAAACTTCAGCGATTGCCTCATCTGCAATAGAGTTACAGCGGCAAATCCACCTCCTGGCTTGTGTGTTTCAGTCTTTTCTGGTGCTGGAAGAACAAAGAAGGTTCTGAGGATTAACATTTCCCCCAAATCAGGTTTGTTTCCTTTGACAGACTCTAATAAGGAAGATTTCAACAAATGGAAGGCTCAGGTTTAATCCTTCTAGATAGTTTCTCTCTGTGGTCTCAGATCTTTAATGTAAGGTTTCTAGTTTGTCTCTGTGAGGTTTGATGATCATACGTAGCCTTTGGTCATTCAGCTGAGCAAAATACATTGCTGTGTGCACTGCATGAGGCGATCCCAAAGCAGGCAAAGGATTGTGTTTGCATGCGTTGGGGCTAAAGTTCCTGCTGTCCCTGCCCACAATGGAACAGCAGCAAAGACACACGCTGCCAAAAGCTGCTTCTGAGGGTGAAAGCAGCTCCTTTCTACAGTAACACTGTGCTAAATGTGCAGGAAGCAAAGCAAAAGGGACACTTTCACCTTGTGGAAAGGAAAATACAACTCTTTTCCCAGCCTGTCTTATGGTGCATTACTGTTTGCAGCAGCGCTTTGGCTTCTAATGGGAGCTGTAGTAAGAAATGGTGTGTTTTGAGTGTTTGTTGTCGCTGTGGGAGGGTCAGTATTAGTAAGGTTGGGCCCTTACTTAACCACAGATGAACATGTATTGAAATCTGGGAGGTATTTATAAAGAGTGGATGTAAAACAAGGCATGTGGAAGTGGCTTCTGGGTAATAAGCAAATGAGTGCTCGGAACAGAACCACCCCGGTGACATTCACTTCCTTTGGCTTTTTGCAACTCTGTGTAACAAAATGCCCTCTTTTTGAGGAGGGGAGGGACCAGTGCTGCCCATTGCACTCAGAGGGGGTGTTTGCTAAGGGATCTTTTACAGGAGGTGATCACATTCAGCCCAGTGCAGCGTGTTAATCACATTCTCCAGCCCGAGCTCGCCCTGGCTGCAGTAATGGGCTGGGAAATAGTTCCCCTGGATCCTCCCTTAATTCCTGGGATCACAGGAAAGCTTTCCTGGTATTAGGTTGCTACTGGAGAAGTGGTAGAGTGAAGCCTTATCTCAAGTATGCATCTGGCAGGGGCTTTGAGGAGGGAAAATTTAAAGGAGCAGCAATCTCAATTAGTCTCTCCCAGCTGGGCTCAGTGGTGACATATTCCATTCCCCCCAGTGCTTTCTGCATCATCTCTTCTTCTAGAGCAGTATCCCTGACCTGTTTTGGGGTGAAGTGGTGCTTTGAAGGATGCTGTGGTGCAGAGAGAAGAAGGGGCGGGGGGGGAGGGAGATGCTTCTGGTGCAGCAGCACTGAGCACTGCTTCTCAAGGGCTTACACTGCTGCATGGGAGGCTCTTGCTGTGCCACCACTGCAGAGGAGCTGCTCTGAGCTCACTGGTGACTTGGAGGCTGTGCTTCTCCTCTGTTACTGTTGGAAACAGTAAGCAGTCAGGGGCAGACAAGACACAAAGAGCTGTCTGCTCCAAATGTTTTGTTCTTGCTGCCATCAATCAAACCTAAACCCTGAGTTTCTTACTTTGGTTTCTGCTGCAAGTGCTCAATAAGAGCTGAGAAGGTCTCTTGTGTTGTGTGATTCAGGCAGATAACCTTCTCAAGAGGGCCTTGTTTAATATCAGTGGTGATGCATTTATTTGAACAACTCCTTTATGAAGCAAAGACACACATAGATTTGAAATGAAAATCTCCTAATTGTAAAGTGAGGGGTATGAAAGGTCTTTTCACCTCGCGTATGACAAATGGGGGACTTGCTGCCCTGGGATTTTATGGATGAAACTCCTTTAGGGAAGTGAAATCCAGAAAGGACAATGCTGGCGAGGGACTCTTCATCAGGGGCTGTAGCCATAGGACAAGAGATGATGGGTTCAAACTGAAACAGGGAAGTTCAGGTTATATATGAGGAAGTTCTTTACTATGAGGGTGGTGGGACACTGGCACAGAGTGCCCAGAGAGGCTGTGGCTGCCCCATCCCTGGCTGTGTTCTCGTGACCCTAGACAATGTCACCCAAGGTTGGACAGAGCCTTCGGTGACATGATCTCATGGCAGGGGGTTAGAAATGGATGATCTTAAAGGTCCTTTCCAACCCTAACTCTTCCATGGTTATGCTTGTTTCCATGTGGTCTTCAGCTGCAGTGGGATGCTGCAATGTGGAGAAGGACAGCAGGGAGAACTGTTGCTCTGTGCTTACCTTGTTCTCATGCTCTTTCTGCATTGCTACCTGGCTGCTAATGGATGGAAGCTGCTGATTTATCTGGAGGCTGGATGACCCAGCATGGTTA